CCTCAACATTGACAGGTTTTAAAAGGTTTCAGGGGAAATAAAAACACTGTTTAACTTAAATAACTGTGAAGATTTAACAAAACTCATCAATCAGACCCACTTCTTTCAAATCAAATGTGGAATAACCATTGGTTAGTGCATCTTAAAGCCCGATCAGCGCGTTTTCTAACTTTACCTCAGGGAAAAGTGATTGGATAAAGTTTAGGAATGGCTGAAACCTTTACAAAGCGATGTTTTACGTCCCATAGGGCATCATCGATATTATCTTCGTGATAGGGGTGAACCCCATGTCTCAGAGCTCACAGAGCATGCTGTATAACCCCATGCTGAGGATGTGTCAGAACATCCCTGGGACCCCGAGCCTGAGCGGCAGCGTGGGGGCCGGCTTTCCTGGAGGGTTTCCCATGTATAATCAATACCTGTACCACTACTGCTTCATGGACCCAGAGGAGGTTGGAACAAACATTTTTATTCCATTGTTTACTTTAGTTTCGTGTTGTTTTTATCGTAATAAAGCTATAATGTCTGACTCTTTGTCTGTAGGCAGTTGGGTTTGTTTTGGGCCTGCTGGTGGTTTTGGTTCTGTCTCTTTCTGCTTACTATGCGTACAAGACCCGCAGCAAGATTTGGCGCCACGGGAAATCGAATATCTTGTGGGACGAGGCAGTGGGCCGGAGGGCAGAGGGGCATACTGTGCTGGACTGGGTGAGTTCGTCTCTCGGTGCTATTTAATGTTATATATTTTTTTTAATAATTAGGAAAATCCATTCAGAAAAAAAAAATGACGAAATGTAAATATAGGCACAAATATACTTTTTTTTTTTATCTGAATTTACATAGTCACATCTGGAATTGATTTTCTTAGTTTTTGTGTTTATTGGCTCATCTTGTCCTCATCTGTCAGTCAGAGAATAATTTTGTTTTCAGCTTAAACATAAACACCAAGATTTCTATTCATACGTCCAGGAACTGTTCATGCGTTAAAGCTACTTAGTCACATTATTTGACTTTTGTCAGGATTTGCTTATGGGTTGAGGACCCAAAAGCGGAGGCAGGAAGGCAGAGGTGAATTGTATGTAAATTTATAATGAATTTAAAGAACTGAAAACAGAGGCAGGTTATCCACAAATCCAAAATGTAAACCAAAGTCCAAATTAACATGAAACCAGGAGATCCAAAAGAAAAAGAAAAAGAAAACACAAGTCAAACGTACCCAAAAAACCATGGAGTCAGCAGGGGAAGAACTGTAACCAGGAGGAAGGCTAAGAAAGATGAGTTGGAGGAAGACAGACGAGGACCCAGCAACAAGAACTGAAGAGGGAGAGCATTCAAAGGAGACTGAGACAAAGAGAAGACTAATGAGCAGATTGGGAACAGGTGAGCACAGGGCAGGAGAGGAAAAGAGCTAGGGAAAAAGGAGACCACAAGAGGGCAGCAGAGGGGAGCAAATAAAAACCTAGAAGACTGGAAATAACTAGAAAACACAACAAAATAATAATTAAACCACAAAGAATATATAACAAACATCAAGCAAAGCAAAACTAAAAACTCAAAAGAAAAACATAACAGAGCCAAAACTGAAACAGTAACTAAGAATGACCAGAGAACACAGCATAAATAAAAATAAAACCACTAAAACTAGAAAACAATGAGTAAAGCAAAACCGAACACTAAAAAGAAAATATAACAGAACCAAGACTGAGACAGTAACAGAGAAAAACCCAAAGAACACAACAAAATAAGAATTAAACCATAAAAAACTATAAAACAAAGAGCAAAACAAAGCTGAACATCGAAAGAAAAACATAACAGAAACAGAAACCTAACACTATTTTACTTGATAATACTTTTTTCTGAAAGATTATTGAATCCTGCTGTCGTATTATCTGGGATTTTGGTGTTTCTTTTTTATTTTTTGCTCAGTTTGTTAGTTAATATACCCCTCTATGTATATATTTACAAAAACAAAAATGAGTTATGATATTGCACATGTGCCCAGATGATAAACAATGAGTTAAGCAGGTTTGTCCTAGCATTAAAAATAATAAAAATTACAATTAAAGATCCAGTTTAAAAAAAGAAAAAAAAGCTAAAATTATTGATTCCAAGAGGGATTAGAGTGGAACAGCGCTGGGAAACTAGGCAGTAAACGTCCTTTATTAAAGTCGTAGGAAAATAATATTTAAATGTCAAATCATTCTGGCTTAAACATGTATGTAAATGTACTCTTTATCAGAACATATTGTCCCAAAACTTAGAAAATTTCTGTTTAAAAAAAAAAATTCTGTCTTAAAATCATATATCCACGGCCATCTGTCATCAAATTTTTTTGTCATAGCATCTTAATTCATATTTCGCAGCTAATATACGCAACGGTTGAAATAAGAATCTTGCATGTTTCCGCTGTCCATAGCGTTCCTTGACAGCGTCGTTTCTAAGTCACCAATTTAGTGCTACTTGGTCCCAATGGAATTTTTTCATTGGGAACCTGCTAGCACTAAGTTGCTAACTGGTTAGCAAGATGCTTCCCACAAACCGGCCACAACCAAACATTCCTGCGAACCTTCCACCACAACTATCCTGCCCCCTTGATAAACAACC